TTTTCTTACATTTGAAACAAACACATAATATTCTTTTAAATACTGAAAACAGGGGAATGAATTCTTCTCTGATTTATAGAACAAATTTATAGATTGGCAGATTTATAGATCAAATATTCAGAGTGAACATCTGTGCAAACGATGTGCTTGGAAAGAGTTGGTCATGCTGAATCTTAGCCTGTGTGTGACCGCAGTACGTGTTTAAATCTGACTGAGTTATGACTTGGAAATGAAGTTCAACCACTGATGCAAATTGCGACACTCGGTTACCGAGCTTCTATTTGTCTGCATGAGCCTCTGTGCTGCACATGGCTGTGTTGATCATGATTCAAATCAGCAGGTCAGACTAAAATAACAAACGTGACGTTTTGGATCACTGTCAGGAGGCTGCCTGTTCAACTTGCTAACTATATTTGACTCTCCGTTCATGGAAAGCAAAGCAGAATCCACAAAGCTGACACAGCATTTACACAACATGCACCTAAAAATGTACCAAATCAAACTCTGACCTCAAACATTATTAGACCGCCTGCCATATGATAAGAGATACGGATGTGTTAACCCCCCCCAAGATTTATTAAGTACATGTTTACCACACATTTTGCCTTCAAGAAAGTTTTACATTGTACTGACTAATGTTTAACACACCGTTTTAACTTATAAAAGCTTAACTTGTATGTAAAATATAAAAACAAAACTCAATTAAAAAGAGTCAGAAAGCCTGCCGAGTTCTTTTTTCCAGGTGTAAGTATTTGCTCATTTTGTACTCTGCAGTGAAGAATGGCCCCTCACTCGTCTTGAACCTGCAGTCTTGCTCTGCAGCTGCTTTAAATGCTTGTTTGACGTTGCTGCCAAAGGATTTTTAACCACTTACTAAAAGTGGGGTTTTTCAGCAGCAAAGGGAATGTTTAAATGCTCTGTAAAAATAAATAACTAAAAGAAGAAGAAAAAGCCTAACAAACCCCCCCAAATATCAAATGAGCATATTTTAACACATTTGGACTAAAGTTCAGGCAACTTGAAGTTTCCTGTTACGATGCAATCTACCTCAGATGAGATGTATTCCCGCCTTGAGTTGAGTAAAGTATAAACACTATACCCTCCTAGTTTCAAACAGATCTTTTCCTATAGAAGGGAAACGCCATAACCACTCGAATCAAGGTTCTTTATGTTGCTACAGCTGTATTTATAAACCACTGTCAAATAAGAAAGTTCAACTACTGAGCTTCAACTGCTTCAAAAAACGAATTAAAATGAACTGTATTGTTGTCAGACAACAAGTAAAATGAAAATGCATGACTGAGTGATCAAGCCTGTGGCAAAAAACCTCTTTTTCTTTTTTTACTTTCCCTCTAAATAAAATAATATTGAGGTGTCAACAAACAGCAATTGAGGTATTAAATGTGGTTTTGGAGAATTATTACATCCCTAATATCCAGTGTTTGATACATTTCCAGTGATTAAACAAAATGTCAGTGTTGTACAACAATGCCACAAAGGCAAAGAGGGAACGCATACTGAAAGCTAAATTGTGTTTGTATGCGTACAACACTAACTACAGTGAACAAGAACAGTTAAAACTTGTACATTCACCTTAGTTTTACTGGCGATCAGATTGACTGAGTGCTGCTCAGACAAGTGCAAACCACGTGCACTCATGATGAGCACATGGATGATAGTCTTATCTGCACGGTTTCCTCGAGGGTAACTTAGCCTCCTGCAGTCTTCTTCTTTAGTAGTCTTCTGTGTAACTCAAAAATCCCTGTTACACAGCTTTGAGAAAGTCTACTACTGTAAGGTGAAGTTTGTTAGACTGGCAAGGTTGTTGTAAATTTTGGAGATAAATAAATTTGAAAACCTTACTTGAATCAACGATTGCTAGCTGCAGTTAATCAAGACAAAAACACAAACAAAAAAACAAAAAAACAAACAAACAGGTGCTAAAACAGATAATGTCCCCAACCACAACTTCAACTATTCCTTTTCTTTTTTATTTCATCTCAATTCTTCTAATAATTTGGTCCGGACAGATGAACGTAAGAAAAACGCAAATCAAAATCATGACTAGAAGAAGGGAGAATGGACGTGTAGGGAGGAAATGCGGTCAATTTTTTCTTCTCTCTATTATTTATTCCGAGAGAGCTCAGTAGTGTTCATTCAAGCTTCGTCTTGTCAGTCACCATCATTGATTTGGTTTCCACTTTTTTAACCTTCAGCCTTTTTGTTTGTCATCCTGCCCACAGCCTTGTCATGAGTCTCAATCAAATACGGAAGGACTGATCAATAAAAGTTGTGGTTGATGTCTTTCCTTATGAGACTCACTAGATTGATGCCTTTCCTGTTGTGCAGAAATGCAATGAAGAAACTTTATCCATCTAACAACTGAAGCCAGTCTTTTGACCTACTTAGGCTTCTGAGGTGTGAAATGTTCCCTTCTTTCAATAAACTGCCTCGCGTTGTGCTATTCTCAGCCTACTTTAGAGTCTGAGGTAATTATATGTTGATTAAGGTGCTGGATGAAGAGATTCTAAATGAATGACACCAAGCTGCATATGGTAATTACAGTTAGATGCGAGGCTTTTATTTTGGCCCAGAAGACACTTTCAATCGACGTGAAATGTTTTCCAGACATTTTGTCAAAATGCCTATCTGTGATCAATGCTGCTATAGACCAGCACCTGTAAGTAATTCCTAATCAATATGTTTTAAAATTCAGACACACTTGCTAAGTGCCATGTGAGCAGAACTCCGAACAAGTCAAATTAGACTTGGATGAAAACACTGAAAAAGCAGATCTTTTGCTTCTTTGCTTCTCACTGACAGTTACTACTTTTTAAAGTTCTTGCTTAGAGACTTTCAGAGATTTGAAAGCTCATATAAGAAGATAAGAAGATCGTGCTACACTCTTTGAGTTATAGCTTGTAGATAGGACTGCATTATCTATATTAATCCTCCCATCATTCATTTTAGCATGTGAGTCAAAGACAGACCATTTGCCAATATGAAGATATAAGATTAGGAATTAGAGTCGTTGGTATTTCATGGATTGTGAGGATATGAAACCATTAAAGCCAATAGGAGAGGTTGCCTAACAAGCCCCTGCAGCCTAAAGTCATTAGTAGACTTGCTCTGCTCGCTGACCGATGTTAATTTATGTTCAGTCGTCCACTTTCACTTTTGGGATGATCAACTTTATTCTGTCCACTTGCAAACCCCCTCGTTTGTTCAGCATTCAAAGTCGGGCTCAAGGATTCTGGTCGCATTTAGCAATAGACAGTAGCTATTTATGCGTAGTGCAGAGGCCCCAATCCCATAAGGTATATAAGTGAGGGAGCGGGCACTGTTCCCGTCTCAGACAGCACAAGTCTCTTTTAATGATGCATAGGTCCTTGGCATCCTCAGGGAGGATGTGTTTCTTGGTCACAGTCCAGAAATTTAAAGCAGTTGCTTGTGATCGCCATGATTAATTTATATACCCTAGAAAAAATACAATGGTAATAATTCTTGTGCCCAGTGGATGGTGGTCGCAGGTGTTGGAAATACCAAATGGGATGAGGCCAAGCTAATGGTGCCTGGAAGGGAAACTATCTGTCAAGGATAATCCCTAATACTGTAACACCCAGCATAGATAATGTCCTTTCCCCCACCTCTCTCCCCTCACTGCCCATGATATTGAGATAACGGTGCTAAAATGATTACATGAGGAATGGGTACTGACACGGATAAATCTGTGTATCCAGAGTGAAGTTTTGCCTGGTTTAACATTTAGTGAAGATTACCTTTCCCACTCTGAAACAGCCAAACTAAGCTAAGAATAAAAGGGTGGGGGGATGCCCTGTGAACTCCAGTGAACCACGTTCCACTTCATTACACTCTGAGTAATTGGTTAAATATGTGACTACAGAAAATTAACTTTGCCAGCCTTGCGAGAGGTAATTAAGGCATTTTTTCCTCTTTTTTTTGCAGCAGGGAGGACAACCAAGATAAACGCAACATTCAGCATCACACAGAGCCAGGTAAAGACAAAGTACCAACAGCCTAAAAACACATCCTCACTCCCTGATTGTTCAGTAATTATATGGTATGCTAATGCTCATATCAATATATGCCTTCACTGTAGAGCTGTCACTTCAAAGTCTTTGTTTTATCTTATCCAAGCTGTAAATATCCACAAACCCACCTGATCTCAGATTACAGTCCATCTTAAATCCCATCAGCCACAAGGGAGCGTGAGCAGTGCTGCAGCTCAGGTGGCAGACTGTCACTCATTGTACAAGTGCATATTACAAACACTGAGTAGGAGAAGGAGAAGAATATTGAAAGCTAACACCCTGCCAGTTCAATACAGACTTAGCAAACAGAACTATACATGAAGTTAGGGCGTGGAAGGACCAGAAAGACCTCAGATGTGAGGTGAATACTTATAAATGCTCAAGGAAAGAAGATACAGAATTCTCAGCTGTCTTTTGTCAACTTTTGCTTTTCATGCGGCAGGGTTAGGCCAGAATTTGTGATCAGTTGTATAGTTGGAAATGTTCCTACCAGTTTTCTGAAGCTGAAGGTTTCAGATAACCTTACAAAGAAGGACAGAACCATCCTTTAAGCAGTCATGATTTCCTGAGTTGATTTTTTTTGTCTCCAGAGGACCTGAGCCATTAACCAGTGAGGTATTGTCTGCTAGCTCCATTTTACATTTTTAAGAAACATCCGGGTTACGTTAAGTACAGCTCCTAAATGATGCTCGTAAGGCCGCTGAGGAGGTGAAAGATGCTAGAGCTCCAAAACTGCTGTAAAGTTAGCAAGCTAGTTGCGGCTAATGTGGTAAGGCGGGAATGCTACCAATATCAAATTCCCATCCATTAAGGCAAAGTCAGTACATTTAGATGTAAATCTACAGTAGGTTAAACACCTTCGGTACAATGTGATGAGTATGCACAACCTTAAAGTAAAGGGGTGTTTACTTTTAGTAACGTAAAAATACTGTGATTGGTTACTTTTCTCAGTAACACTGTAACATCAACGCTAACACTGTGGAACAAATATATACTGGCTTTAGCTTTCATGTCCTGCAATTGGGGTGAGAAATATAGTAAAACTTCAAAATAATATTGCTTTATATGTACTTTTTTCATGTCAGTCATGTCGTAATCTCTGGTGTGATCTCAGTTTCGCTCTACTGTAAGCATAGTTTGGGTGTGAATTTTATGCTGTAATAATGAATGTAAATTGTTTTTACTGGATGAATGAAAGTTAGTATCATTTATCAATACTGTATGTCTGACAGATGGTTTGTATCTCACCTTGCTACAACAACTCAACAGTATTAGAGTAAAACATATAATGGGAAATATGGAGGAAGAAAATGAGGTGTGAGGATGGGGAAACTGATTTAAGCAACTTTATATTGGGTTTCTTTACTATTAACGAAATGTTTCTATCACAATTACTCATTGCTTTATATAATTTGTCATTATTGTGGCCTCTTATCCTAATAATTTAATATTATCCAGATATATACATTTTAGTTACCAAACAAATTTCTGGGGATTATGTTGGTAAACAAGTTGTTTTACTGAAATACAACTACACTAATATTTTTTGGGGAAACTGTATTTTAAATAGACTTACCTTCACATTTAATCTTCAAACTAGCTCATCAGGGAAGTAAAGTTAGAAAATAGCCCCTTTTGACTAGCATAGCAACAACAACATCAAAGTGTCTTTATTTATTGACTGGATGTTTTAGACGAATAGCTTTACCTCTGCAAACCTAAAAAGTGTAATACTTTAAATACTTAAAAAATAGTAAATTGAGAATTGCTAGGACAGAACATACATCTGCCTACGCACACATTCCCAGGAAGAGCAGATTATGCTACTACAGTTCCTTTACCTGGAAAAACAGTAATTTATTGTCAGTCAGTCATTTATAGCATGCAATAAATCACAAAGGCCAAAGACAAGCATGTTTCACACTGATTGAATACTCACAGGAAGTAGAGTCTGCTTGCTCTTTCCTTCACAGGTAAGACACAATCAGTCCTTTGGCCAGCTAAGAAAAAAAACAGAGGAAATGTTGAGTGATTGTAATAATACTTTCATGACAAGACAATTCAAACTGAGTTTAAATGCAACCATACAATCTGCACAACCAAACAGGCTATTCCTTTAAAATCCCCTAGATTGAAGGCACAAAGTGATGCAAGATTAATAAGTGATATGTTTCTAAAGAAAATGTACATCGGAGAGTTGCTGCAAATAATTATGTGAGGGAAAAACCTTCAGATACATAGATCTGCAGGAATCAGAATAAACGCTTTATCCTGTCACAGTGTTGAATTCTTTTTATAATTATATTATATGAAAATAATAATTTTGCTGCTCGCAGTAGGATGGCTAAAACAACAATTCATCCTTCGGCCAAATGTAATATCTGTTCAATGTGTTTTTTCAATCAGCATTTAAAAATCAAACAGAGCAGCTGTTCCTTTGTTGTACAATAAGTTGTGAATACTGATAGATTGGATGCATTTCTATAGTGTCCTTGTTTCTATCAGTGATTCATTCTCTAGCTCAAGTGAGCCACTTTAGAAATTAAATACAGTTTTCAGAGCGTGGAAATGTCAAAATAATTCATCTTTTCTTTGTTCATTATGTTTAATGTAAAGACTGTAAAGTTAAAGCTTTATAGGTCAGACTGTTTACAATATGTGATGTTTCTTTCGTTTAGACATGACCATTTGCGTTTGCTCTAATAGTAGTCATGTACAAATTTTGTGTATTTTACAAAACACAATTAAGTTGATCAGTAAAATTATTGAAATTCTACTTTTTTGACTGTTAAACAAAAGTATACAGCAATCACGGAAAATGGAAAATATTCCAACATGTATGGAATTGGGTTTGTATTAAGTAATATCCATATTAAGTACGTATAGCTTTTCCAGTTGAAAGAAAAGCATTTAGAGACTTAATGAAAATGAAAATTGCAGAGAATTTTATTTTTGTTTTATTAGTACTTTTGGTGCTTTTAGTAGTACTAATCTTTAGGTCTTATTGTCACATATATAGTTATTTCACAGATCATCATATTAATTATTTGGTCTATTCTTCTTTATTCACTCTGTTTCCATAGCTGCTGTGTAATAATGAATAATAAAAAATAAATAAGAAATAATGAAAAAAGGAATGAACAGAACTAGCTAATGTAAAATGGCAGTGAATTCTGCAATTTGGGAGATATTACTGTTCATTAGTTGATCTGAGCGACAAGGAAAGGGGGTACAGTGCAAGTAAGACAGGGCAAGGCTATTTAAGGACTGAAAAACACACAAAATCATTTAAACATAAAGTCTGAAATGGACAGGCAGCCATCTGAATAACGATAAAACATCGGTAATATTCTTCCATATTCTAGTTAAAAGTTGGGCTGCAGCATTTTTGCACCACCTGAACCTGAGACCGGCAGGACTGGTTAACACCCACAAATAGTTACAGTAATCCAACCAAGTTGTGATAAAAGCATGACATGTAAAAAAGAAATTGACAGAATCAGAATACTTTATTAAATCCCTAAGGAAATTATGTGGGTTACAGTTGATCCAAGACAGTAACAGACTAAACTATTAAAATAATACAATTTATTACAGATTTTACAAATTTAAGAAATAGCACTAATATATTAAAAACATGCTCAATTATAAATATCAAGAATTAACAGAGTTGGTTATCAAGAATATTGACAAAGAATATTACAGAGGTGGAATATATATGATTGATATTTGACTCTAACCTGTGAACTTTGTCATTCGCTATTTTACTGTAGAGCATGTGCAAAAAGGATGTAACTATTGCAGTGTTTACAGTGTATTAGGAGTTGTACAGGGAGAATTGTATGCAGCCCCGTGATAAATCCTTACTTTTCACATGCTGCTGATAATAAAGTGCACTTCATTTACTGATCATCGGCAAGTGTGATCACAACTACAAAAGAAGTTGTTTTAGCAGTTTGCAAGTGTGGAGCACTGCGGTATGTGTTGACACAATGGCACATTTTCCACAATTCCCAAGAAGGGGACATCCCAGCAAATTTAGAAAAAAGATCAGAAGATGCAGTTCTCAGGGAACCTGCAAAAAGCCCCAAGATCTACATCTAACAAAACAGTCCTCAGTCAGCATGTTAAATGTTAAAGTTCATGGCAGTAGAATTACAAAAGACTGGACAAGTATGGCTTGTTGGTAAGAGAGGCCAGGAGAAAACTTCTCTCTAAATAGGACATGGCAACACAGCTTAGGTTACAAAGTTGCATCTATACAAAAATGCTAAAGTTTTGGAGCAGGCACGACCAAAGTGGAGATGTTTGGTAGTAATGCACAGAACCATATTTAGCAAAAACCAAACAGAGCATGTTTGCACAAATGGAGGAGATTTACACCATCACTACCAACAGAGGTGAAGATTTTGGTCCAGTCTGCACTCATGAAATCCTGCAGTGGGATCTCCAGAGAGATGCATCAATGAATGAATGCCTGGAAACCTCTGTTAATTGGAGCAAAACTACAAGGAAGAGTGGGCCATAATTCCTGAACAATGGCTTTCTTCACGTTATTGCTATTAAAGGTTGTTATAAGATACTGAGTCATGGGCTGTACTTTCTTTTTCACAGGACTATAGGTTCACAAATATCAACTAAATTCCGTGGGCAGTAGCACCATAGGCTTTATAATACTTTGTAGCACCTCATTTAGCTTCGAGCTTGTGTCAATGGCTGTGACCCATTTTAGCTCCTACCTTTGAGGAACAACAAATACAAAGGTGTAGTCATAGTATGAATGAGAGCTGCTGTGCTGAGCAGCTGCCCGCTTCTCCACATATGACAGCCCACACAGAGGATTGAGGGTAACGTTAAATAGGACATGTTTTGCATTAACAAACACTGGCCCCACTTTCCTGAATGTGAAAATACATTTCTACAGGAGATAACATTTGTTAGGAGGAAAAGTCAGATATCACAAACACGTGCTTCGAGACACTGCAGAACTAATCATAATGACCTGAATGTCTGCACAGGCACCACAGAGGCCATTTACTCAGTGTAATTTGGTTTCCAGCAAGACTCCTGCAGAGCCATCACAAAAAGACTGATTGATTCTGGAGCTGGACAGAGCCTTGCTTGCCCTGGCCTAAATAATAATAATAATAATAATGATAATAATATGAGGAAGAGCAACCAAAAGGAAAAAAAAAACACTGCAAGCATCAGAGGTGTCTTTTCCTTAAGTAAAAAAAACTGGAAACATTTTTAATTTGAGGATGATTTTGTTTAGAACTAACAGGTATTACACAAGAGATATACTTGAGGAAAACACAGAGAGAAACAGCTTCCGCTGGGAACTTGTTTAAAAGCGTGGAAACCTTTCAAGAAATGAAATGCATTGAAATTCAAGACTTAGCTACCTGTAATGAAACGTACTAGGTTATGCTCTAAAATTGTCTGCATAAGCACTCAATTGTTGTTGCTTGCATCATTTAAAATGGAATTTTCCTGGGATAGCATATATTGGGAATATCTTGATTGGTTTTTTGATTAAATTATACCTACCTGCATCTTTTTCTTTAAAGATGCCAGAGATGCCTACACTATCAATATCCGCTCAATCCTGTTTAAGTAGGAATAGTATTATCTGGGACTTCCAATAATTTTCTTACAGCTGTGGCTGTCATTGATATGATCTTAATCCAGTACAAATCTACCATGTTCTTAATTTTAAAATTAAAAGTTTGACCAACCTTTTCTTTTGCCAAACACAGAACTTCTCGTATTATATTAGCCCAGTGGGAATCACCATCTTTGTAATTTTCCTCTTTTATGATGCCTCAATTAGACTGTAAAAAATCCAGTCATATGGAAATGGCAGATGTGTCAAACCACAAAAACGGTCTCCATGGCTACATTATGGATCAGTGAGTGTTGGTTTACCTAACCTTTCTTCCATGAGGTTCTTTTAGTATATGGTAAGCAAGAAAGTCTTTAAGTAGTGATGGGGCTAGGCTCCTCCAAATCCCCCAGCTACAGGGCTGGTTTGATCTGACAGACTGGTCCATCTTTGAACACCAGGCTTTAGAGATCTTCACACAGTCTGTCCTTTTCTACATTAATTAAGTGTTGTGTAGAGAATGTGACAGCGACCAAAACCATCCAGATTTTTCCTAACCGAAAATCTATGTGGTCAGGAGGAGACTGAGAGTGGTTAACCCCAGGAGAGCTGCGAGCCCTAATGGCATCTATATCCCAGCATACTGCTGCAGGGATCCTCGCCAGGCTGTTCAACCTCTCCCTGACTCATGCCACCTTTGTCACCTGTCTGAAGGCCTCCAATCATTCCCATACCCAAAGAGACTGGAATAGACAAGTCTCATTGGCTACAGACCTACAGCCCTCATGTCTGTAGTCATCAAGTGTTTTGAGTGCATTAGAGACCATCAACCCCCCTCCCCCGACCCCTACCTGTTTCCTTACAGAGCAAATCGGTCCACGGAGGATACCAACACCATTAACCTTCACAAAGTGAGCTAAGTGAGGATGTTCTTTGTGGACTCAGCCTTCAACACCATAATCCCAGACATCGTTACCACCAACTGAACCGCCTTCTGATCCCCACTGCCACCTGCTCCTGGATCAAAGACGTACTCACCAACTGGCCTCAATCAGTCCGACTCAGACCCAACCACTTTAATGTCCACCACCACCGTGGTTGGGCTCATGTCTGATGGAGATAAGACAGCGTCCACTGGTGCTCAGAAAATAACCTGAAGCTGAGGGACAGACAGGTCCACTTCCCACTCATTATGAATGGAGAACGGGTGGAATCTGTCTCGACCTTCAGATTTCTGGGCACCCTCATCTCCGCTGATATCACCTGGACCCATAACACTAACTCCCTGGAAAAGAAGGCCCAGCAGCAGCCGCTCTTCCTCCCTGTCCAGAGGGAGAATAACCTGGACCAGAAGCTGCTGCTGGCCTTCTAACGTTCCTCAGTGGTTTCCTACTC